TCACACCTCTCCCGTGATATCATATCATCCCTGTGTCATCATGTCCTCCTGTGACATCACATCATCCCTGTGGCATCACATCTCCCCTATGACATCACACCTCCCTGTGGGAAATGACTGGATGGTAGGCCTTGAATTTGAGCAGTTGCAGCTCTGAAGTTGCAGAGGAATGTAAACAACTCTAAGGAAATATTTATTGCAATGCTGGACAGAACAAACGTAATGCAACTGAGACCAAAGGTCACCAATCCAAATGTGTGTAGTGTCACCAATGAAAGTATGTACAGTGTCTTCTGTGTTACCAATGAAAGTATGTACAGTGTTTTAAGTTTGAGACTTTTAATCAATTATGTTGTATGATAGTATGATAGTATACAAAGAGTATAAATGGAGCATTTGAGAGCAATAAAGTAGCCGTGTGCCTTTCCCTGCTATCTGAGTGCATTCTTGGCCATCGTCACCTCCCCATGACATCACAGCTGCCCCGTGACATCACATCTTCCCTGTGATGTCACATCTCTCCTGTGATCTCATATCATCCCTGTGACATCCCATGCTTGCCTGTGACATCACACCTCCCCTGTGACATCATATCTCCCGTATGGCGTAACATCAATCATATATCATACCTTTTCTGTGACATCACACTTCCCATGTGACATCACATCATTCCTGTGGCATCACATCCTTCCTGTGACATCAATGCTTCTCTATGACATCACATCCATCATATGACATCACATCTATCCTGTGATATTATATCATCCCTGTGAAATTTCATCCTCCCTGTGATATCACAGCTCTCCTGCGACATCACAGCTCCCCTGCAACATAACATCTTCCTGTGACATCACATCTCCCTATGACGTCACATCCATCATATGACATCACATCCATTATATGGCATCACAGCTCCCCTGTGACATCACATCCAGTGACATCCAGATCCATCCCAAGGTTGGGGGTGTGTGTGAGACAGGCAGAACCACAAATGCCTGCACAGCCCAGAGCAGTCAGTGTGGGGCTGTGCTTGCTGCTGCAGAGACCCCCAGGGAACAAACCCAGGCAGGAGTTTGGGGGACTGTGTGTGTGTCACTTGCCTTATTATTCTTATTATTTGTAATATCTTATAGATCTATCATACAACACCTAAGGATGTTATTGCCATAGATATTTGGGTTGAGTCTGGCTGAGCTGCAGTTCAGTTCCCCACAACAGCGCTCCCAGGGCTGGGCTTGGCATTGGCAGCTGGAAGGGTGTTGAGAACACCCCAGTGTTTTGGCCCCTGCTGAGCACAGCACCAACACTGGGACATTCCTTCCTTAGCTGAGGGCAAGAGCCTGGCAGGGGACCCAAGTAGGCCAGCTGAGCCCAACTGACCCAAGGGACATTGCAGCCCATGGGAGGTCAGCTCAGCTCTAAAAGCTGAGGCCCGGAGCAGGAGGGGGGCATTCATTGTCTGATGGCTGCCTGCTGAGGAACCGTCCCGCGGACCCAAGCCCTGCTCCTGGGGAGTGGCCGACCATGGCTGCTCATGGGAAGCAGAGAACAAACCCTGCTGTCTTTTGCTTTAAATAAACTGTCTTATCTCAATCCACAGGTTGTTTTTTTCCCACCTTACTCCCTCCCCTGTCCTACTGAGAAGGGGAGTGATAGAGCAGCTGGGAGGGCACCTGGTGTCCAGCCAAAGTCAACCCACCACACACCTGAACACTTCCAGAGACTCCACCACCTCCCTGGGCTACTTGTTCCAATGCCTGAACACTCTCTCAGGGGAAAAAGGGTTTTTGAATATCTAATATGAACCTTGCCTGATGCAATTTAAGGCCGTTTCCTGTCTTCCTGTCACTAAAGGCTTTGCAGAAGAGACCGATCCCCACACCCACTAAAACCTCCTTTCAGATCATTGCAGAGAGCAATGAGATCCCCCCTGAGCTTCCCCTTCTCCAGACTCAACCAGCCCAGTTCCCTCAGCCGTCCCTCAGCAGACATGTTTTCCAGAGCCTTCCCCAGCTCCGTTCCCTTCTCTGGACACGCTCCAGCCCCTCAAGGGCCTTTTGGCACTGAGGGCCCAGAACTGGACACAGCACTCCAGCTGGGGCCTCCCCAGTGCCCAGCACAGAGGGGCAATCAGTTCTCTGCTCCTGCTGGCCACACTCTTCTCCACAAAGGCCACGATGCCCTTGGTCTTCTTGCCCCGCTGGGCACACTCTGCCTCATATCCAGCTGCTGTCAAGCAGCACCCCCAAGTCCCTTCCTGCTGAGCAGCTCTCCAGTCCCTCTGATGCTCCTTTTAGCCCTTCCTGGGGATGGGCATCCCATTTGCTTGTTGCCAGTCAGCTGGGACTTGTGCAGTTGTGCAGCACTGCTGGGGAATGAGTGAGAGTGGCTTGGCCAGCTCTTTCTCCAGCTCCCTCAGGACTCCTGGCTGCATCCCATGTGGGTCCAGGCACTTGGGGGGGTCTCACTGGCAGAGCAGGTCGATGACCATTTCCTCCTGCATTGTGGGGGCTTCACTCAGCTCCCCATCAGCAGCTTCCAGCCAAAGCCTGCCTGCCAGGTGTCCAAGGGGTCAGTTCTGCTGCCCCCTCCTTCCTTCCCCCACAATGGAAAACTCCCTCATTTGGGTCCCTGTGCCCCAGACGGCTCCGACCACCACCTCACCCACCAGTCCCACAATCATGGAATGCTTTGGCTTGGGAGGGGCCTTAAAGAGCATCTCAGCACCCCCAGAGGAAAGATTTCCTTCCTACTATCTCCTCCAACCCTTCCCTCTACCCGTGTGAAGCCACTGCCCCTTGTCCTGTCACTCCAGGCCCTTGTCCAAAGTCTCTCTCCATCTTTCTGGTTGGCTCCTTTCAGGCACTACAAGGCCACAATTAAGTCACCCCAAAGCCTTCTCTTCTCCAGCCTCAACAATCCCAATTCTCTCAGCCTTTCTTCACAGCAGAGCTGCTCCATCCCTCTGATCCTCTTGCTGCTCCCCTCTGGACTCACTCCAACAGGTCCATGTCCTTCCTGTGCTGGAGCCCAGAGCTGGAGGCAGCTCTGCAGGTGGGGCAGCATTACAGCCTGCAGCTCTGCAGGTGGGGCAGCATTACAGCCACGCATGTTCCAGCAAGGACATGGAACTAAGGACCATTGGGACACTGCAGGGCCTTCGGGAGCCAAAGGAACCCTGGGACACTGTTGAATCTCATGGAATCAAGGTAACACTGTCGCCCTGGCAAAACTCCTGGAATTCAGGGCCCATTGTGACACTGCAGCTCCCCATGGAACAAAAGGAACCCTGGGACGCTGCAGAAACTCACGGAACCAAGGGACCATTGTGACATTGAGGGGGCTGATGGAATCAGGAGGCCATTGGGACAATCCAGGGCCTCATGAAATCAAAGGAATTCTGGGACACTGTCGAACCTCCTGGAACCAAGGGTTCCTGCTGACATGTGTGTCCTCCTGGAACCAAGGGAGCCCGGAGATATTTCCGAACCTCCCAGAATCCAGGGGCCATTGGGACCCTGCAGAACCTCCTGCATTCAAGTGCTCCTTGTGGAACTGCAGGCTCTCCTGGAACCCAAGGATTCCTGGAACACTGCAGAGCTCACGGAACCAAGGGGCCACTGTCCCACTGCAGCTCCTTCTGAAGCACAAGGGACCCTGGGACAATGGGAAATCTCCGAGAATCCAAAGGGCATTTGGGGACTGCAGGGCCTCATGGAAGTAAAGGAACCTTTGGAGACTGTGGAAGCTCTTGGAATCCAGGGGCCATTGGGGCATGTGGGGCCTCCTGGAAGCAAAGGAACCCTGAGAATTTATGTGGGAACAACATAAGGCAGCAACAGCTGCATTCAGTTAATTCGGATCCAAAAGGAGTGTTTTGGCCTTGACTGGTGTTTCCCATCCAGAGAGTGCTGTTTGCCAAAGTGGAAACCACTTGGAACGCTCTGCATGGCAGCCTGTGTTTTTCTCTGGTGGCTGAACACAGCCAGCACATGAGGGGAGGGGAATGTGTGGGATCAGGGCACTGCTTTGGGGCCATGCTGGGAATTCCAGTGGACTAAAAGACAAAGCCCAGGCGCTGTTTCCAAAGGAACCCCAATGAAAGGGGGACACTGGAAAGATGGGTGGACAAGTCCTGCAATGGAACTCTGTGTGTGCAGCCTCATTTTATCCTTCAGTGCCCACAGGAGAGGGGGCAAACAGTGGGGGTTGGGACCCCAAAACTGTTCAGGGGGGAAATGGGGGATTGAGGGGACAATGGGAATATGGAAGGAACAGGGAGAAGGGTGGAAAAGGGGGGGTGGTCTGGTGGGTCGGATGGTCTCATGGGGGTCTTTGGGCACAGAGGCGTTGGGAAAGGGGGGTGGCCCCCCTGAGCTCCCAACTTCCTGTGGGGTGCTGGATCCAATCTCAGCCTTGGATTATGCCAACACTTTCAGTTTAGAGGAATTACAGAGGTGTAACTGAATCATTTTTGTCCTCCAGGTTAAATGATGGCAAATCAGATCTACTGAGAGAAATTAATTTATTTAGGGTTCCAAATGATCAGACAAAAGATCTTCATCAGAATTATTTACGGCACAACAGAAACACTAAAACTACCAGGAGAACGGCATAAGATAGGACAGTGCTCTACACTAAAGCAATTGTTGAAGCAATTCTACCCAAGCTGGCACAAAAACTGTAATTCCTAATTACGGTTGGATGGAACTCCCCCAGATCAACATTCATGGAGAGAGATCTCTGCTCTCAACCTCCAGCAGTGACCTTGGGGGGTCCCCAGCCAAGGTAGAAATCTCCACACACCTCCCAAGAAGGGTTCTGTGAGAAGAAGCTGCCCCTGGGAAAGGGGACTGGTCCTTTGTGGTAAAAGGGATGGACTGACAGTCACTGCACTCCAGGGGTTGCCTCAGCATCAGGGGGTTCATTCGGGGTGGAAGCGGCAGCCAAAGCTCTTCCCGCAGTCGGGGCACTGGTAGGGCTTCTCTTACTGGTGGGTCCGTTGGTGTCTGGTCAAGGCAGAGCTGTGGGTGAAGCTCTTCCCACACTCCCCACACTTGTAGGGCCTCTCCCCGGTGTGGATGCGCCGGTGGGTGACGAGGGTGGAGTTCTGCTTGAAGCCCTTCCCGCAGTCGGTGCAGCGGAAGGGCCTCTCATCCGTGTGCGTCCGCTCGTGCAGGAGGAGATTGGAGCTGGTCGGAAACCTCTTCCCACATTGCAAGCACTTGTAGGGCCGTTCTCCAGTGTGGATGCGCTGGTGGGTGAGCAGGCCGGATTGCTGCCTGAAGCTCTTCCCACATTCCCCACACTTGTAGGGCCGTTCCCCACTGTGGATGCGCTGGTGTTGGATCAGGTTGGAGCTCTGCCTGAAGCTCTTCCCACATTCCCCACACTTGTAGGGCCGTTCCCCAGTGTGCGTGTGCTGGTGGGTGAGGAGGTGGAAGCTCTTCCTGAAGCTCTTTCCACATTCCGCACATGTGTAGGGCAGCTCCCCAGAGTGGATGTGCTGGTGGGAAAGGAGGTGGGAGTTTCGGCTGAAGCTCTTCCCACATTCCTTACAAGAATAAGGCCGTTCCCCAGTGTGGATGCGCTTGTGGGTGCGGAGGTTGGAGCAGAAGCTGAAGCTCTTCCCACATTCCCTACACGTGTAGGGTCGTTCCCCCGTGTGGATCTGCTGGTGGGTGAGGAGGTGGGAGCTACAGCGGAAGCTCTTCCCACATTCCCCACACGGGTAGGGCCGTTCCCCAGTGTGGATGCGCTGGTGTTGGATCAAACCCGAGTTATCACTGAAGCTCTTCCCACATTCCCCACACCTGTAGGGCCGCTCCCCGGTGTGGATGTGCTGGTGTCTAATCAGGTTGGAGCTTTTCCTGAAGCTCTTCCCACATTCCAAGCACTGGAAGGGCTTCTCTCTGCTGGGAGGCTGCTCAGGGACCACCAGGTCAGAGCTCCCCCTCAAGCTCAGGCTGCCTTCCCGGCACAGGCTGGCTCTTTCCTCCTCAGAGCACCCTGGGCTGGCTTTGGAGCCCCTCCTGTGGGGGGATCTCCGGCCCTTTTCCTCCCCGCTGCCTTCCTGCGCCGGGGAGCCCTTCAAAACGGCCTCTCCCACCAGGGTCTCACGGGGGGATTTGTCCTCCGCGCTCTCCCTCCTCAGCTCGGGGCCTGGGGCAGGAAGCAAGAAGGACAGGCAGGGGATTTGCCTCCGGCCCACAGGGAAGGCCAAGGACATCCCCCCAACTCCGGCCCCGGCAGGACGGCGGCGCCAGCGGGGTTGTCCTGCAGCCGGGGCCATGCTGGGCTGACAGAGCCAGCACAACACCCGCCCAAAGGGACACTGACTTCCTCCTCACCTGCCTGGGGGGCCCAAGGCATCTTCCTCTTCCTCGCAGCCTCCTCCTCCATCCGCCCAAGCTTTGGGAAGGACAAATCCTGATGGGGGGAAAACAAGGGCTGAGCACGTTGGCTTGGGGGTTCCTCCTAGAACTCACTGGGCGTCCTGTGTCAATAAAACACTCCAAAACACCAAGACTCAGACAATAGCAAGAAGACCCTCGCCCCCCCAAACTGCAAAACGTTACAGCTAAGTCAAAAAATACTCGAAATTATGAACATGCAGCGCAAAAAAATAATCCCAGAAATTCCTCCTCTCTGGTCTCTTCCCTCTGGGGTTCAGAGGGTCTCCCCTGACTGACCCTCTGACTCCTCTGGGGTGTTGGGGGTCCCAAGAGTCCCTTCTCCTCTGACTCTCACCTTCAGGGTGCCATATTCCCAGACATTCTCCCCTTCCACGTTTTCCACTTTGTTGTTCTGGGGATCCCAGGGGTCCCCACTGTCCAGGTTTCCCCTTCTCTATGCCCCACTTTTCAGGCTCCTGGGGGTCCCAGGGCTCCTCCCTCTCTGTGCTCCCCCCTCCAGGCTGCCAGGGGTCCCCCAGCTCCGCCATCTCCCCGCTCCGCCCTCCACACTCGGCAGCTCCCGGGCTCCACACCCACCCCCGGCACTCCAGGGGGGCCCCAAACCCGCTGTGTCCCCGCCGGCACCAGGCTGACAATGGAGCCGGCGGGGCCTGACCCAGCAACACCAACCCCCACCGTGGGGGGGACCCACATCCCCCCACCCACCGCCGGGGCTCTGCCCCCAACCCAGCCCGGCACCCCCAAAAAACACCTCCTGCCCACCCCCAAGAGCCACCAGAAGAGGAGAAGCAACAGCAAGAGAACAATCAACCCCCATCCCATGGGTGCCCAGGAAGGGGGAACTCCTCCCAAATATCCTGGGGGAGCGCAGGGGGTCGTGACACACTCGGGCTGCCAGCACAGATTTCCCTGCAAAGTCTGCAGTGGGTCAAGCTCTGCAGAGGAGATTGTGCCACATGCATGGGATTGCAGAGGCTCCCTCGGGTCCCCAGCAGGAATCAGCAACCAGAAAGAGACACAAAAGGTCCCCCCTGAAGAGTTCTGGGGATGTGTCCTGTAGGGAGGGGACAGTGTCACCCCACCAGGGCAGGGTTGGCAAGTGGGAGGCTGCTCCAGGGCTCTGCAAGAGGCCTCGTGCTCTGCTCGGCCCCAGCACTGCCTGGTCCCAACACCCCCGGCTGCCCCCGGCCCTGGGCAGCTCTGCTGCCACAGGCTGTGCCCTCACCGTGGCCCTGCAATGGCCCTGCCTGTCCCTCACCCGTGGCCCTGCCCATGGCCCTGTCCCTTGGCTCTCTCTCTGCCAGCTCAGTGTGGGGCACACGGGCTGGGGGTCCCTCCCAAGCCCCCCGGGCAGCCGGCGTTGGCTGGGGGGATGTGAGGGCTGGGCCTGCTCAGCACAGCCCCGGCCTCGTGCCCAGCGCCTCTTTCCTGACCCACACAAGAGCTTCCCGGCCCCCCCAGGGCTCCCCTGCTGCTGCCTCTGCTCCTGGCCCTGCCTTTGCTGCTCCCTTGGCTGGGGCAGCGGCTGCAGGGGGGGATGGCAGCAGCTTCAGCTCCACGGCACTTCCTGGGGGGAGCTCAGCCCGGGGGACGGGCAGGGACCTGATGGGGATGGACAGGGGCCCAGCAGGGACAGCCAGGGCCTGCAGGGGAAGGCACAGGGACAACCTGGCCCCCCACACTGCCACCGCTGTCTCTGCTCCTCCTTGCAGGCTCCGTGGCCAGGCACAGTTTGTGTTCCTGGGTGCCCACCATCTCAGCACTTGGAGACCCTCAAATCAGCGCCCGCAGCTCTGCAGCAAAGCCCCAGCTCACCTGGCACACAGGGGATGGACACAGCACCTGCTCGGGGATGGGCACTCACAGCTTTGTCTCTTCCCCACCACGGGGCTCTCCTTCCTCAGCAGCACCTCTGCCTTGCACTTATTCTCAGCCTCACCTCAGGGACAGCTCTGGGCTCACCTCCGCGCCACTTCTCAGCCTCACCTCAGGGCCTGGGCTCAAGGACAGGAACCTGCAGGGAGGGGACATCATGGGCAAGCTGAGGGCTGCCTGCTTGCACTGGCCTCTGGGCTTCTTTCTCCTTCTACAACCAGCCCACAACTTAGCCTGCTTTGCTAACACCACACATTTACACACTGACCTTGGAAATAGATATGGACAGACATCTCTATCACCCTGGGGATGGAGCCTCAAGCATGTGCTGCCATAGGAATGGCAATCACAGAATCACAGAATCAGCCACGTTGGAAAAGACCTCTGAGACCATAAAGTCCAACCCTGGATCCAACCCCGCTGTGCTTCCCAGACCATGGCACTGAGGCCACATCCACTCTCACCTTCAACACCTCCAGGGACGCTGAGTGCCCTCCCAGCACAGCCCAGTGCCCCCAGTACAGCCCACTGTGTTCTGTCCCAGGGTGCCGGGTGATCCCTCTTGGGGTGGGGTTGGAAGGGATTTGGCAGGGGGGGGCTCGGTGAGATTTGGGGGGATCTGGGGAGTTTGGGTGGGGATTTGGGGGTCTTGGAGGCATTGGGGGTCAAAGGGATCTGTGTGTGGAGGGGATTAAAAGGAAAATGGGGGTTAGGGAACATTTGGGAGCCTGGGGTGGGAGATGAGGGGCTGCACCACAAGCAGGTGAACCCTGAGATCCCCCTTGGTGTCCCCAAGACCCTCTTGGTGTCCCTAATTCCCCTCTTGACACCCCAAGATAACCCTGGTGTCTCCAGTATCCCCAGGGCCTCTCCATGGCCATTATTCCCTCCTTGACACCCCCAATTCCACTGTCCCCAAACCCCATCCCTGATGTCCCCAACCCTCCATCTCACCCCAGGAGCCCCCCCATTGGACCCTATGACCCCAAAACCGCCCCCCCACACACACTCACAGAAAGGCCAAGGGCATCTGGGGACACGTTGGGGACAGTTGAGGGGATTTGGGGGGCACTGGGTGATTACTGGGACACACTGGGGGGAACCAGGGGGCATTGGGAGGGACTGGAAGGTTACTGAGGGATGCTGGGAGGGCACTGGGAGGGACTGGGGAGGTACTGGGGGATTACCAGGACACAAGGGGAGACAGTGGGAGGTTACTGGGCAATACTGGGGGTTACTGGGTGCTCACTGGGGGATCACTGGGCCATACTGGGTGGCAGTGGGAGGTCACTGGGACACACTGGCTGGTCACTGAGGGGGTTACTGGGCCATACTGAGGGTCACTGGGAGGTCACTGGGCGATACTGGGGGCACTGGGATCCCCTTACTCGGTTCTGCTACATCTCCCCCCTGCATTTTGGGGGGCACCCACAGGACCCCTCCCCTGAGGGCTGGGAGATCCCCCTAAACCCCACTGCTGGGCTTTAGGGGACCCTCCAGCCCCCCTCCCTGTGAGGTCTCTGTCTGCTGAGTTTTGGGGGTCTCTGGGGTTCGGGGGGGGAATTGGGATCCCCTTTCCCTGGGGTTGGTTTGCCGACACAGAGACCCCATAAAATCCTCTCAAAACCCCTGAAATCCCCTCAGAAATCCACCTCTGGACCCATCAAAACCTCCTTAAAGACCCCACAAATCCCCTCAGAGACCTCATCCCCCTCCAGGACCCCCTAAACCCTCTCAGTGACCTGCAAAACCCACTTGGGACCCCCCAGGCCCTTTCAGGGACCCCGAAAACCCCCTCAGAGACCCTCAAAACCGTCTGGGACTTCTGAAACCCTCCTAGAAACCCACAAAACTCCTTCAAAGTCACTTTTCCTGCAAGCCCCCCAGGACCTCTGAATTCCCTCGGAGACTCCAAAACTCCCTCAGGGATTCCCAAACCCCTTCAAGGACCTTCAACCTCCCCCTAAGTCCCCCCAGGAAACCAAACCCCCTCAGAGACCCTCAAAAACCTCCTTAGGGACCCCTAAAAGCCCCTAACGGACCACAAAACCACAGAACAGCAGAAGAACTTCCTGTAAAGGAAGGGAGCAAAGAATCTGAGAAGGAGGAGACCAAGGAAAAACTGAACCAAAGCAATAATCATCCTGACCCTTGCAGTTTTTCCTTCACCTTTTTCTCACTTTTCCTTTTTTCAGGGTTCTTTTTTTCGTTGGGTGGTTTTGAATGTTTTTTCCGAGGGACTTTCTCGGCAATCGAATCGAACATCCGGGTTCTTGGGAGGCCCCCGGGCCCCGCGGCCCCCGAGACGGTTCCAAGGCCCTGCGCTCTGACCCCCGAGAACCCCCGAACCTCCGCGCTAAACCCTCCCGAGCCCTCCAGCCCTTCCACCCACGGCCGCGCTCCCCGCAGCCCCCGAGGGGATCCCCAGACCCCGCTCTCCCGCACCCCCCGCCAGCTCTCACAGACAAAGGCAGGACCCGCCGCCATCACCGATTCCCGCTCTGCGCGCGCCCCGCCTTTAGAGAACACCGCCGCAGCCAATCAGCGCGGGGCCACGCCTCCGCACGCCTGCCGACGCGCCTGCGCGCCGCGCGGGGCAGCACGGGAGTTGTAGGCCTTGCGGCGGATCATTGCGGCCATTTGCACGTGAGCGAAGATAATACTTTCTTGGTTTTATTGATTTTCTGTCTTTTTTTTTCCTTCTCTTTTCTCTTTCTTTTTTCCTTTCCTTTTTTCTTTCTGCTTCCTTTTCCCCCCTTTTTTCTTTTTC